ACTCTCTCCACAGCCCCTAGCGCAGATCTGGTAGTCACGCCACCCACTGGATATACTGGGCGGAGTCACACCTGAAGGCGGAGCTACTCCGAACAGCACTCAATTGAAAACTTTTAAGTTGTTCATTTTCTGCCATTTTCCACTTGATATTTTTGGACTGTGAGTAACTGAAACCACAAGCAAGTGAAACCAAGGCTGGGGGCAGGGCAGGGCGGGGCACTAGACTTCTAATGCAAACTGGACGCCCTCCAAACGCAGATCTCCGAGATCGAAAGAGACTGAAGTTAGCCAACAATCAAATGGAACTGTGCTAAAGATCTCTGCAGTCGAGGCGTACATTTCCGTCTTCCACCTCACCACTGCTAACCTTTGCTGTTTGTTCATGTGTAAGGGGAGGGCTGGCGCTGCTCGGCATGGGAGAACTTTCGGATTCAGCTGTGTGGATTCTGGCAACTCCGCTCTCCAGGCTTGGCAGCAAGTACCTTAACACACAGAGCCATTTCGCCAGCCTTTCCATCTTTATTTTTGAGATAGGGTCTCTCACGGAACCCAGAGCTCCCAGATTCAGCAAGACTGACTGGCCAATGAGCCCCACAGCACTGAGGCTACTGATGTGACGCTGGCTCAGTTTTTACTTGGGCACAAACACAAACAAGCACTTTACTCGTGGAGCTATCTCCCCAGCTCTATTTGTTTGTTTGAGATGAAATCTTATTAAGTAGTGCAGGCTGGCCTCAAATTTGCAATGGTCCTGCCCCAGTCTCCAGAGTGAAGGATTCCTGGCAAGTGGATCCACAGGTATTTTCACGGCTGCTGTAGCAGTTTGCTTGCTTGTACGCCACCCCACAAGGCGTCTGGTTCGGCCTCAGCAGCCTCAGCAAATGACTACCTCCTTGATTTCCTAAGATCACTTGCTTTTTACAGATAGGTCAAAACACTGTCGAAGCCGCAGTGTCTTTCAAAGAGCTCATTCATTTGCTGGGCGGAGTCCTGCAGACAGGGGAAGGGGCCCCACCCCCATAGCCCTCCCCCTCCCCCGCCAAAAACACCCGCTGTACACACCACTCAAAACCACAGCGGAACAACCCGCCCTGGGAAACACGGAGCCGCCCAGGCCGGCCAGCGAAGCGGAGCCAGGCTCCAGTGGGGGTGGAGCAGAGGCAAGGGGACATTTGGGGCAGGTACCAAGCCTTGGGATCCGCTCCAGGGAGGGAGGAGCCCCAGATGGGAGGTCCCCAGGTCTCAGTGCCCGCATCAGCCAATAAGGACCCGCTAGCAAAACTCACCAAATTAGGAAAGCTGAGTGAGCAGGGCGGGACCCGAGGCTGCTGGCTGGGAAGTCAGGCCCTTTCCCCAGCCCGCCCCGCCCTGGATCCTGCGGCCTGGGAGAGGAAGGGCAGGGCGTGTTTGTAAACATGAAGGCTCCACCTCTACACAGAAACTCAAACTGAAGAAGTCTTGGCAGGCAGGAACCTCAGGCTTCCTTTACAAAAGCTCAATGGGATTCCACAGTGTGAGGGTGAACAGCCAACAGAGATCTTTCGTCCGTCCGGGACACTTCAAGGCCCAGGGCGTCTGGGGCGGGTCCCAAAGCACCATCTCAACAGGTGACCAAGAATCCAGTTCCCTCCCAAGGGGACCCTGCTGGGAACGCTGAGTAGACAAGAGCCTGCTCCCTCCCAGCAGTATCAAGAATGCGGTAGACATAAAGACTGGACTTAGGGGCTACCGAAGCACCAACGTCTTAACTAGCTGGCTGCTGCTTGGTGTTTGAGCTGAGGATGACACAGCTTCCTCCTGCCTCCACTTCCCCAGAGCTGGGATTGGCATGCACCACTGTGCCTAGTGTTATGTGGGGTGCTGGGGATACACCCAGGGTTTCCTGTATGCTTGAGAAGAACTCTACCAACCCAGCAACACCCCCAATCCCTACTGTTTTTACTGGACAAATGCAGGATGATCTCTGAGTGTGAGGCCAGCCTGGTCTACTTAGTAAGTGCCAGGTCAGCTTGGACTACACATGGAGATCCTGTCTCAAAAGCAAACAACACTAAACATAATCCTGTTCAATCCCAGAATCTTGGACTGGGTACTGGATACCGAACCCAGAGCCTGCCTGTCTTCCTTCTTTCCTTCCTATCTTTTCTTTTCTTTTCTTTTTTTTTTTTTTTTTTTTTTTGCTTTTGCGATGAGGTTTCACTATGAAGGCCTGGTGTGTCTATAACACATTATGGAGACCAGGCTGGCAAGTCTCCAGTTTCTGCTATAAGAGCTGGGGTTTCAGGCATGTGCCATGTTGCCCAGCTAAACCCAGGGCCCCTTCCAGGCTAAGGAAGTAAGTGTCCTACACCGAACTCATCCCAGTCCTCTTTATTACAGGCAGGGAACCACAAAGTTGCCCAGGTTGGCTTTGCACCACTCAGTAGCTCAGACTGGCCTCGAACACAAGCTTTCCCTGCATCACACTTTCAAGGTGGCCCCACCTGTTCTGCATGCAGGCATTCTGTGACTTTTAGTAGATTTCCTGTCTAGCAGTTACAGCTTTCTCAACTGTCTGTGCAGCACGAGCACTGAGAGCACGTGAGCAGGAAGCGTGGGGCAGAGGGACTCTGGAGGGGACATCGCAGTCTCTCACAGGGACAACCGAACATTCACTCCTGCAATCCCAGCACTTGGGAGGCTGAGGCGGGGATTACTGCAAATTTTAGGTCAGTCTTGATTACATATTGAGTTCTGGACCAGCCTAACTACACTGTGAGACCCTGTCTCAAAAACCAAATCTGGGGTTCAGATAGCTGCTCAGAGAATAAAGGGGCTTGCCATTCAGCCTTACCTCCTGAGTTTGAGTTCCAGGATCCACATGATGGAAGAGAAATGACTCTCAAAAGCTGTCCTCTGACCTTCACATGCCCTCCCCCAATAAACGAATACATAAATAAGTCAATATAATTAAAAACAAACAAATGAAATGAAGTCAAAACCAATCACACACACACATCCCTGCTGCCCCAACTAGCCGTGAGCTAAGGAGGACTTGTGTTGGGGCCCCATGCACTGGGTCATGCACATGGAGTCTGGATGTTAGGACAGGGCTATGCGATCTGCTGAAGTGACAAGGCTGAAGGACAAGTGGCAGATGCTGAGCACAGGAGGGCCGTCACCTCTCACCACCACCTTCCTGAGCGCTGAGCCTTTACTGCAGGCTTCACGGACAGGAGAGACATGGCCCGGGAAGCTGCTATGATGTGACCTACCCAAAAAGACACAACCCATCACCCACATGGCCAGGACCACAATGGGGTTCTACACCTGAGTTCTGCCAGTTCCCAGGCTGCACCTCTCGCTGGTGTCAAAAAAAGAGGACGCTTACTCCAGACAAGGGACCCTTCACGGAGGAAACAGGTAAGTTCACAAAGACAAACCCAGGGTTAAACTCCCTCCCCACACACACATACAGTGTGTGTGCTCATGCTTACAGTAATACTCTTAACCATCTTGGGTTTCCACCAGTAGGAAGGACATCCTCAGATGTAGGCCCCTGACCATGAACCTCTAGAACCAAGAATCAAAAACCTCTCTTATGTATAAACTTACAAAGGGGGTAAACTGCAGCCAGGTGTGATAGTGCACACCTGTGATCTTAGCTGGTGACTAAGGTACGGGGATCAAGAGTTCCAGGCCAGCCTGAGCACCAGAAAGCTTCCATGTCTATTAACCAAGAGGCTCAGTGGCAACTGCCTGAAATTCCTTTACCCAGGGTGTTGGTTTGAGTAAGAATGACTCCCAGCTCCTGGAGGTTCAAGAATTTGAATGCTTGGTCCCAGCTGCTGGAATGTTTAGGGAAGATTAGGAGGTGTGGCACTGGGGGCGGGCCTCTAGGTTTCAAAGTCCATATTAGGTCCAGTCTCTCTGTGTCTGTCTCTCTCCAGCCACCTCTGCCTGTGGGTCTAGCCACTGCCTCAGTGTCTACCTGCCTGCTGCCTGCTGCCGTGCCTCCCACCATGACAGCCATGGATTCACCCTCTGAGACTGTAAGCAAGCCCCCAATTAAATGCTTTCTTTTATAAGTTGCTTTGGTCTTGATGTCTCTTCACAGCAAGAGAAAAGTAAGTCACCTAGTGTGCTAAATCTGGCTCTGATTCCTAGTACTGAAACAGGGGGTGGGGGTGGGGGTAAATAAAGTGACAGCATAAGGGTAACTCCAGTGAAAAAGGAGGTATAACTTTGGAGACCTAATGAGGTTGCCCATAGCAGTGACCCATGGCCAAGGCTCAGAGACAGCACGACCCTGGCTCTGCTGGAGAATAGTTCTCAGAGGTTCCCCAAGGAACGTGTCACACCTATGCCGCAGTCACAAGAGTCCTGGCCACTATCTGCCATCTCTACAGGGCTGGCCTGTACCATAAGTTGAGGTGGAAGCCACAGGGCTCAGGGCACCATGGTCCCAGCACCTGATGGGGACACAGCACTTTAAAAGCATAAGGAACACAAGAGGCAGTGAGAGGGAAATCTGCTTCACTGAAAACCTCCAGCCAGAATCTGACCTCCCTTCTCTATTTTGAGATAGGGTCTCATGTAAACCAGACCGGCCTTGACTCACTATTAGTAGACATACCCCTGCATCCAGAATCCTAAGTACACACCTCAACACCCAGTTTAGTATGTACTGGGGTCTGAACCCTGAACCTACACTCTTTACCCACAGAGCTACATCCCAGCTGTTTGCTCTTGAGACAAGGTCTCTCTCACAAAGTGGCCAGGATGTCCCTGAACGTCCATGTAGCGACAGCTGGCTGTGCACTGGAGATCCTCCTGCTTCAGTCTTTGGAGCGCTGGGCCACACACCCATTTGCCAACTTGCTTTAGGAGGCCCCAACTCACAAATCTACAACCTGGACAGGTGGAGACTTGAGGGTGACTCTCCCTGCAGGGCCTCCCAGAGTCTACTCCATCTCGAAGTCCCTGATGCATTCAGAATCTGGGCACGAGAGGTTGCTCACCTGATGGTGCCAGTCGGGGAAGGGATGGGGCTGACAAGGCTCCGGAGGTCCGGCTCCGGAATGTGGATCTTCAGTGGAGAGATCTGAGGGTAGAGTGGCCGCAGGGGGGATGCTGGGGCCTCCTCCTTATGGTACAGGGACGTGAACTGGATCTTGATGGCCGTGCTGGGGAAGCGGAAGGTGCATCTGCAAAGGGAGGACAGTGGCTGGTGAAGCACAAGGGCACTGGGCACAGAGCTGAGGTCCCACCACCCACAGCGCAGGAGCAGCAGGAGCCTTCACACCCGGGAACACAAACTTGGGCTTACTCTGGTGTCAACTGTACTCGACTGTGAACAAAGGAGATAAATACCCCAACAGGAGACTCCATGTACCAGGGCAGTAATGGTGACAATGAATATGGTTCCTGACCCTCAGAGCAAATAGCTAAATGGATCCTGTGCACTTATGCACAGAGTTCACTCACTCATTCATTCACACATTTATTTATTCCTCCAGCAAAATAAGTAAGTGAAATAGTTAAAAGACCCTGTTTCAGCTGAAAACGGACTCCACTCACTCATTCGTTACAAGACAGGGTCTTACTATTGGTCCAGCCTGGCCTGGGACTTGAGATTCTCCTGTCCCTGTCTCCTGAGTGCTGGGATGACAGGCATGCGCCACCATGCCCAGCTTATGTGGGGATTTCAAAAGAAAGACCCCTTCAAGGTATAATCAAATGCCACCACACAAAGGTAGAGGGGTGCCCCAGAGACATCCGCTGGAGGAGGGGGAGGGAGGGAGGAAAGGGAGGGAGGAAGAGGGAGAGGGAGAGGGAGAGGGAGAGGGAGAGGGGGAGAGAGAGAGAGAGAGAGAGAGAGAGAGAGAGCGCTCTAACTGGCTTCTCACTTTACAAGTCTAGAGCCAGGCATGTCTACTGAATGATAGACAGACAAACTAATCTGACCCTGGAATAGCCAGGGAGGCCCTACCACACGCTCAGACAAGGTGAGCAAGGTCCCCCATTCTGCTGAGCACATCTTCCAGTTTCCAGCTCTGAGTGTGTGCATGTGGAGGCAGAGGCTCATGCTGAGCGTCCTTCTCAGTTGCTTTCCACCTGAATCTAATTTTTTTTTTTTTACTTCACCTGCATTTTAAAGGGTCTCTCACTGAACCTGGAGCTCTCCATTTCAGCTAGACTGGTTGGCAAGCTCAGGATCTGCCTGTCTCTGTGCTTGCATACATATGAAATAAATAGATACAACTTGGCGGTGAAAAGAAAAGAAAACATAATTTGAGGCCAACACAAGCCACGCAGTTCAGGAGAGCCTGGGACACACAACAAAACCTGTTCTCAAAAATACCCCGATATGATTTCTACTCTGTTTAGCATCTCATAACCCAGGAACAGTGCCATCAGAAATTTGGTTTGTGTAAATTCGTGCGGGGGCACTTGTGGGCACGTGCACTGGGTGGGCAGACATCACCTCAGGTGCCATTCCTCAGGCACTGCCCACCTTGTTCGGGGAACCTCAGGCTGTTTATTTGCCCATGATGAAGGAAAACCAACTGTAAGCTGTCCTCCAAATGTAAAGGAGACAGGAAGCTGCCTGGGGCTGGCTGGGTTTGGGAGGTGGCATGGTCACTGAGGGAGTGAACAAGAACTCTATTTTAGCACTAGTCACTCAGTGGGGAGATTTAAACGACTAGCTATATGGTAGGTCAATTTTTTAAAAGATTTACTTATTCATGCATTTTATGTACATGAGTGCTCTGTCTTCACGCATACAAGAAGAAATTTGACCCCACTGGTGATGCTGGGAGCCACCATGTGGGTGCTGGGAATTGAACTCAGGGCCTCTGGAAGAGCAGGCAAGTGCTCTTAACCACTGAGCCATCATCTCTTCAGCACCTGTGGCAGGTATATCATACCAAAGTTCTTGCCTGCGGATTCAGAGGCTGAACACAGAGTCTGGAGGCAAGGGGCTAGGCTGATGGTGTGGAGAACACTGTATCTAGCATCAGATTTCAGTACACAGTTGGCTTGATCATTACAGTCTTGGTTAGAGTTGGCGAGGAGGCTCAGAAGGAAGGGCACTTGTACAGCAAGCACAAGAACCCACACAGAAGTTGGAAGCCACAGTCTGTCTGTAATTCCAGTGTTCCCAAGGGAACAGTGGTGGGGGAGAGCCTGCTGGCCAGCTGGCACATGTGAATGACCAGACACAGTGGGAGGCGAGGACTAACACCTGAGGTTGTCCTCTGATCTCCACACATGTGGCGTGGTACACGTGTGCCTGCACTCACAGGAACACAACACATACTTGTGAACACGCACACACCACGCATGTGGCATGGTACATATGTGCCTGCACTCACAGAACACATACATGTGAACACACACCACACATGTGGCATGGTATGCATATGTCTGCACTCACAGGAACACACGCACATACATGTGAACATACACACACCACATATGTGGCATGGTACACATGTCGGCACTCATAGGAACACACACACACATGTGAACATGCACTAGGGCACCAAGCACTTCTCTGCAGCCCTGGCAGAACCTGAACTTTATTGGGTCTCCTTGCTGCAGTTCAGAGTCTGGTGACCCTGTCTTTGAAGGAGGAATCAGTAACCTGTGTCTTCCCCAACCCCTCCCTGGAGCTGCCAAGCTGTGGGAAAGTAAGGAAGGAATCCCAAGCTCTTACTGACTTGAGACAGTTAACTTCCTCTTGGTCACAGAGACAAGGAAAGACACTAAAAAGCTTCTGGCAAAGCTTAAAAAATTAACACATCTCTCTGCTACACAGCCACTCCCCATTACCGTTCCTCCATCCCAGGAGAACAAGGACTTCACTTTCTGGAAGGGACGGTGAGCTGGGGGAGGTGGGGCCTGCAGGGGACGCCAACAAGCACTGGGGAGGATGTCCCACTCTGAAAACAGACTCCTGGCCTGAGATGCTTGCCATACTTCCCACGTGTGAGGGGTGTCTCAGACATGGGCGGGGGTGGGGGCGGGAGTGATGTTGGCTGCCCACCCATGGGAGCAGGGGCTCAGGCAACCCACTCTGCGGTGTGAACACCCCAGGGAGGGCAGACTATGCAGCAGGAGGGAGTAGTGCATTCCTGTCAGTGTCCCATAACTCAGGAATCTAAGGCAGGAGGATCAGGGCTATACAGGGAGTTTGGGGCTAACTTGGACCATAGAGAGAATTCAAGGCTAGGCTGGGTTTCAGAATAAGATTCTGAAAAAAAAAAAATTAACTTTTTTATTTTATGCTTTTTAGAAATCTTATGTGTATGGGTATTTTGCCTGCACATATGACAGGTGCCTCTGGAGGCTAGAGGAGGGCATCAGATCCCCTGGAACCATGAGCCACCACATTGATGCTGTGTCTCTGGACAAGCAGTCAAGACTGTTTACTAAGCAATCTGTCCTTCGGTCCTACCTCTACATTTTTCCCCACTTTGGTTTTTGTTTTTTGAGACAAGGTTTCTCTGCCTCTCAAGTGCTGGGATCAAACATGTGCACCACCATTCCTGGCCTTAACTTTATTTTTAATAAGGAAAAATGTGGTAACTGACACATGAATTTTCTAAAGCAACCACTTGGAAAGGCCTTACAGCATAAACCTGTCCAGTAACAATGGATCAGTGAGTGACAGTTGAGGTCTCTGAAACAAAACCGAGATCCACCTTGTTTGGGGAATTTTCAGAACACCTTATTTTCCTTCAAAGAAAAACTGGACCAGGATTGGTGGCGCACAACTGTAATCCCAATACTTGAGAGGTGGAGGCAGGAGGATCAAAAGTTCAAAAGCAGCCTCAGCTACATGAGATCCTGTCTTAAAAAACAAAAACAAAAAACAAAAGGGCTGGAGAGATGGTTCAGAGGTTAGGAGCATTGACTATGCTTCCAGAGGTCCTGAGTTCAATTCCCAGCTACCACAAGGTAGCTCACAACCATCTGTAGTGAGATCTGATGCCTGCTTCTGGTATAAAGGCATGCATATAAATAGAACACTGGTATACATAAAATAAATCTTAAAAAGCAAACAAACAACACAAAAGCCAGAAAAGGGGCCACTGAAATGGCTCAGTAGGTAAAGGCCCTTGCTACCAAGGCTGATGACCTGAGTCTGATGCCTGGAACACACGGAGGAAAAGGAGAGAACCCATTCCCGAAGGCTGTTCTGACCGCTTTGTGCCTTCTGTGACACAGGCACAGACATGCACACTTAAAACATTATTAAAAAATCAATACAGTGCAAAGTGGCCCAAAGAACTCTGTATGTTTAGAGGCATCCCTGTGGGAGGGAAGGGCTAAAAAAAACACTTTCTAAGTGATGTCACCATGCCAACACCTTCCAGCAGCTCGGCTAACCACAGTGAGCTTCCTACAAAGTACTTGTAAACGTGAAAGATAAGGAGACGAACACACAAGTGTTCTTCAGGTCTTGACCCACCAGGGAATACGAGAATTATTTGCCACAGGCTGATGAAATCAAATAAGAGGATCAATGACCAGGCCGCAGCTGACAGCCAGATCTGATGTCAGGCAAACTTTGTTTGAAAAGAGCTGGAGCCCTTGGCCCCCTCGCCGCACTGCACAAATCGGGGTGTGGTGCATGCTGGGAATCCCAGCACTGAGGTAAAATCAGGAGAATCAGTTCAAGGACATCCTCAGCTATATAGAGTTCATTTAGGCCAGTACTTAGACACACACACACACACCCTCTCCACACACACCTGGTTAAATACTTTGAGAAACCTGAGGCTCCTCCCAGGTCACTGGACCTTTGTGTAGCTATAGTTCCCCCTGCTACAAATATGAGCCCAAGTCTCCACCAGTGAACGTCATTTCAATCATTCTCACGAAATGACCATCACAGGGAGGAACATGGCAACGGCTTGCAATGCGGGCTCCCCAGTGGCCTCCACTGCTGCAGTCTGTCCCTTAAAGGCCATTTCCTGTAAGGAACAAATGACTCTGGAAGGGGAAAAGCATGGTAATAAGAGCTCTCAGAGGCTGCATGGGGCCATGTGCCTTTGACCCAGTGAAGTACTGGCCTGGCCTAGCTCTGTGTGGGGTCACCTTAAGGAAGGGAGAGTGCCCTAGGGCCTAGGCTTCCCTAAGAGGGCCAGAAACTCTGCAGGGGGCTGGGCACAGTGACCATGATGACACAGGAAGT